GTCTTCACCCCAAACACATGGTCAACATCATTCTCAATGGCCCTCTGCCCACATTCAATGACATGGTCATGGGTTCTTTTCTGTGCCTCAGTGGGTGGATATACTCTGGCATATCCTCTTCCTTTTGGCACTGTTTTCCCTTCATTTAAGCAATGTCCACATCCATATGCACCATTGAACTGATGTATACCTTGAAGCATACATCGGGCTACTGTGTCACATGAGCATATGATAGGGAAAACTTTAGACACCATAGTTCTTTTTGTATGTGGGTGCTTCCATTCCAGACCTTGTGAATTGATTTTTAGAATGTCATCCACAAATCGCTTAAGGTAGGTGGACATGTCAGGTTTACCACGCCCAAACCAGACACCTGCGAGTATCATGTTTTTGAAACGAACATTTGGTTGGAGTTCATTTATTACACATCTGATGGGCCACAATGAGAAAGGTGAAGATTTAAACATTGGAATGCCATCACAGTTCCATAGTAGTGATATGTCATTAGCTGTGAAATTGGGGAGTGTTTGATACATTTCACCCTTTCTCACATCATTTGTTCCATATACTTCTGATTGAAATGCACAATCATCTTTTTGTAGGATGTCTCTTAGCTGGTCCTCGATAGAGAGACTTATATAAAAATTGCCTTCTGCAATATTCTTTTTTGGGTAATTTATCTCATTACACTCTGGACAATGCATGTTGTTCTTTGAAAGATATGTTTGGCAAATGTTGCAGAAAAGGTGAACATTTAGAGCAGGGGTCTCAAACTCGCGGCCCGCGGGTGGCCCCCTACTTGACATTAAAGTTTAATGTTAGTGCGGCCCGTCGTTGCGTGTGCCGCAAAAAAAAAAAAAAAAAAAAAATGTATCCCTTATGAGCTACCATAGATAGTCTCGTGACAGCTTACGGAGGGTTTGTTGTCAATAGTTGTCATAGACAACCGCGAAGTACAAACATACTGCGCCTGGAAAAAATTAGCGCGTCGCTTCAATTATGAGCGCGCTTGCCGCGCGCCTACATTTGAAATTACGAACTTGAGCGCGCAAAATATGTGAGCGCGATATGTGAACGGCCCCTTGGCGAGCTACCACCAATCAGGCCACGAGCTGCTGGTAGCTCGCGAGCGACGTGTTGGAGAGAGACCCTGCTCTAAAACAATGTGAGAATAATCACTTTGAGCTTGTAATATGTGTCCAACAGGTTCATAAGAAGGTTTGCTTTGATTTGTGCAGTCAGTAATTTGAGACACTATACAAAGAATTCAATAAGACGGGCAGACATGACTGCAAATATTTGTATTTCAAAAGCAATAATTGTTTTTCTAAGTATAATAAAAGGAAATGTGCCTTCCAAAAAAAACATTCAATATCATTAATGTGTTGTATAAAGAAAATAAAAAGGACATAAGCAAATATAAATATCACAAATATGTGTTATAGACAAAGAAAGTTTGTAAAATGAACTTCAACTGTCAGAAGGACAGCTCATGAAGAACCAATCATGTACAGAAAGGAATGTTCAAATTCAGAGGAACTGTTCAGAAGAAACGTTAATAAATATTGAGAAGATTGGATCAGTTGTGCTCCTTTTTTGGAATACTTGAATACTATTTTTTTGTGGAATACTTGATGCGGCCCAGCCTGACCCCGACTCTACCTCTAGCGGCCCCCAGTTAATTTGAGTTTGAGACCCCTGATTTAGAGACTCAGATGGATCATGGAATATTTTTCGGAAGAGGTGGAGAGACTCTGGCAATATGTTGCTACTCGGGAGAAAGACATTTAAGAGCTTTAAAAGGTCTTCCACAGCACTTGCTGTTAAACTGTGCCTCAGAGAGAAGGACAAAATTAGAACTATTGCCTGTGCAATTGTTATCTCTGATCCTGTGTAAAGAGGGGCCCCAGATTTTTCAAATTGTGAATTTGAATCAGAATTTGTGGCAGCAGTGTCATCCATAGTAGAGTCAAAATCTCCCTGAGTGTCACTCCACTCATCTTCACCATGGTCCATTTCATCAACAGAATCATAAAATTCCTCCTCGTCTTCCTCACTGTCTGCAGGGGATTCATTCTGATGGGTATCATCCCAATTGTAATGAGGAGTGTTGTTTGTCCGCCATCGACTTGTCTTTGGAAGGGGGCAACTCGATTCTGGATCCAAAAATCTAGTAATATGATCAAATACTATTTTAACATGTGACAGTGCTTTCAAGTAATAAAATGATAAACATATAATTTTTATTTAACCCTCTGGTACTTTTCAGTCATTTTCGTGTTTTGAAGTTGTTCCATTTTTTACTTAATCAAAATGGTACAAAGCTTTGTGATTTTGTAGCACTTGCTGCAGGAAAATTCACAAATAATTATATAAATAACAGTGAACATTGTATTAGATGTACAATGTTTATAAAAAATAATTTGCATTATTAATATTTAAAATGTACTAATTAATTATTTCAAATGTATTGAATTATCTATACTCAGATTCAAGTTGTAAAAATAGGGTACCTTTTGTAAGGGCCTCGTTGTTTTGCATTCATTTCAATGTAGGGATATCTTCTTGTTTAGAGAAATCATTTGGTCACTGTTGTGGAAATATTAAATATGTATAATATGTAAATAATAATAATAATAATACAAAATCTTGGCGTTAGTAAGTCAACATAATAAAAACTGAACGGAAAATAATTTGTATATTCATACAAAGAACACCGCCCACAACTCACATCGTAGGCATGGACATTCAATTGCGCATGCGCATCCTTGCTCACTGCAGCGCAACGGTCAGAGCAGAGGAGACGATCATACAACTTTCTTGAAGACGACGAACTGTGACAAACAATTGTAAGTAACATATTTAAACGTTTCTTTATATTAACATTTGACACAATCTAGAAATATTTATATGTAAACCTGCGTAAAATGTTTTTTTTTTCGTAACATTTTAAGACTGGTCAGTAACGTTAGTCATCTGGCTGCTTTTCGATAACAGTTAGGCCTATATAATTAGATCATGTTTAACGGTCTTACCGTTACATTTATCAACTACTTACACCATAAGTAGAAACCTTTAAGTAGAAATACACCATAATTAGAAACTTAAGTCATTTCTTAAACGTTATTTTTGTAGTTAACATCACAATGGACTTCATCATCAGTGGCTGTCGGTTATGTCTCGGACGTTACGTTTCTGTTGCTGGTTGCTTAGTAACAGTTTTAAACATCATTTTAGAGGGAAATTACCCTTATCTGTTCTAAAACCACTGTAAACCTTGCAATATAAACGAGAAACAACTTGTGTTCTTTGACCTTGAGCATATCTCTCCTAAAAGAAAGCAAGCAACAGGTTGTCATAATGTACGAGACTCATACAGGCACGGCTACAGTACTACAGTAACACGGCTAGATCCACCGGCTGGTGCGAAGCTAGGCCTATGTCTGAATTGAGGTCCAGATTGAACAAAACCTTAACAAGAGATTAATACACCTATAAAACATTCATGTCTTTTACATTAAACATCAAAGCATATAATATTTGTATAAACACTCTTTGTTTTGCCCACTCATCAAAAGCATTATAATTGACAGAATATTGTCTTCTTTTTTTTTTATCCTATTAAGAAAATGAGGTTTATGTTAATCCAATGGATTGAAGATCCCCCCACATGGGATGTGCTTCCAACTGAAAAAATTATTAATGGACAGTGTGAAATTGGTGGTGTATGTGATGTACAGTACAAAGAAGAATCCAGCCCTGCAAAAATTCTAAATGTTGATAAGTATACGTTTTTGTAATATGTCTGTGCATTACTGTGATACAATTGATGCATGTTGTGATAATAATTATTTATCATTTCAGGAACTAGATCTGCCATGCTTAAGCAGCTTCATTCTATTGAGAAAAATCAGTCCATCAAAAGATCCAGACCTGAAGGGAATGAAGAATTAGGGAGAGGGCAGCGCCAGAAGTATAGCAGAATACTTTCTGAATCAGAAAGCAGTGAAGAATATGAGGTAAATTAGGATGATGCAGTTTGTGGTAACCCTAACCCCATTTTGTCTAATATCTAATACGATATTAACTCCTTGTTTATTAAATATCAAAATCAAATGCTGGCAGTAGATCTATTTCATATTTAGCACCAAAACTCTGGAACAGTCTTCCTAATATTTTCCGGGAAGCAGACACACGCTGTCAGTTCAAAGCTAGACTAAAAACACATCTCTTTGACCTAGCATACACATAACACACTATAAACTTCTATAATTCAATGTTAGGCTGCATAGATTAGGTCAGCCGGAACCGGGAACACTTCCCTTAAATCCTGATGTACTCGTTACATCATAAGAAGAATGGCGTCCGAATGACAAGCACATGACAATATATAATGTCGAAACCTGATAAGCTATTGTTGCTTAGACCCAGTTGATTGCCACTTTCAGCTAATTTGAAGGTTATATTTGTAATTGTACAATTCTCTTTTATTTACAGTCGGTCAGTAAACAAGTTTCTGAAAAGAGCGTCAAAAGGATAAGAGCCGCCAGATCCTTTCTGCAGCAGTATAATCTTGAAAAAGTAAGATTATTTCAACGAAGTTACATATATCAGGGCTCTAGACTCACTGCTTTATTTTTCCAGCAACAGTAGATGTATTTAACAGTAGCATACAAGAAAGAAATTAAATGAACAAATATAAAAAATAAAACACTACATAGACTTCACTGTAAATTATACATTGATTCTTATTAAATCTACTATTAAAGTTCTCACAAGACTCTTATTTTCACAGCACCCGTTCACTGCAGATGATCCATTGGTGAGTAAATGATGTAATGCAATATTTTTCCAAATCGGTTACAAATTATGAAACAAACTCATCTACATCTTGGATGGTTTGATGTTGAATACATTTTCAGCAAGTTTTAATTACATACAAACTGCACTAACAAATGTTTTACAATTCTAGGAATCAAGCAGGGTGGCAATGACATCAGCAAGGACAAGGAATGACAGTGGAGTCAATCAACAAATTTTGGCCGAATTAAAAGAGATTAAGAGTGTTCTTGTGGAAACTCTAACACTTTTAAAAAATGGTAACCCTATGAAAAGTTTTTAATTTTTTTAAGTGATTGCTTCAAAAGATATTAAAACCTATTTTGTTCTAGGATGCACTCCATTAATGACTGCACCAGCACACACTCTCCCTGGATGCACTTCGGATTTGCCAGCCCCAGAGTCTTCCCCTGTGGTACCTGCCCCTTCCTCTCTACTGCCTCTTCATGTAAAGGAGACTAGGAGTAATAATGACTGCAAAAAGGTATTGTTTTTAAGTAACCTTCAAAATGCTTTCTTACTAGGGCTACATGATTTGGTCAAAAATGTATATTATGATTCAGTGTTTCCCACAGGAGTTTATATATTAAAAGAAGTCAGAATTGTTAGATTATGTTCGGTTCATATTTTCAGCCTTTTTTCTCTTTCATACAAAAACCAAAAATGCCATTTTACATGAGAGATGATACAGATTACGGTATGCAAAATGGACAGAATTGTCAGATTTTTAAGGAACAAAAGTAAACAACATAATGCTGACAACTACATCCAATGTTTGTTATTATTGTTTATTTTTTTTGTTCTAGAGATATATGCAAATTAGTGCATACTTAAACATAACATTTCAGAAAACTTGTATTACAAAAATGTTTGCAAGTAATGTAATCAATCATTTGGAGAAGTATGTCAATAGAGGGTATGCGTGTGACGTCACCGTCGGCTGGATTGATAGAGCCCTATGCAATCCGTTTTATTTTTTCCCAAATTCCGTTTTATTTTTTCCCAAATTCCGTTTTATTTTTTTCTGTTATTTTAGTCGTAAAAAGAGTGTGCTTTTAAAGTTAATGATTAAAAAATGTACACAAATAAAATAGGAATGACCTTAAATTTATTGAGGTAACAGACATTTACTCAGTACTTTTCAGCACAAATACTGCATGATGCAACACTGCACTCTTCAAGTAACAACAAAATATGTTTATGAGCTTTAAACTGTCCAGTAAAATAAATTATATTAGTTTATATAAGTGTAAATAAAAGTCACACTGTCTCTCTCTCGTGCACTGTTGCATGCTCTTGGACACACCCGGTCTCTCTCGCGCAGTGTCGCTCGCGGTGTTCGCTTCGCTTTTGTCCAGTCCGGCGCCTCATAGACAGACGCTGTGTGTGTGTGAGAGAGAGAGAGACGCGTGAGTAGGGGTGTCACGATTCTCCAAATCCTCAATTTGATTACATTTTTGATTCTAAGGTCACGGTTCGATTCGATTCTCGATTTTTACATTTATTTTTTAATAAATTATTAAAGCCGAAACCGGCCAATCAGGATGCTCTCTGTCTTACATGCGCTTCATGAGGCACATACGCAAGGTCTCTCGCTCTCTCCATCTCTGCCGTGCGCGCTATAGGGTTTGGAGCACAGTCTCTTCTGTCTCGCATGCGCACTCTCGCTCGCTCACTCTAGAATCCGGGAGATTTTAACTAATTTGCGGGCATCAGGGAGCCGCTATCCATATGCGGGAGACTCCCAGAACTTCCGCGGGACTTGGGATGTCTGCAAACTGTGGGTTTTTTGAAGCGCGAACGTTGTCAACATAACTCACTGGAAATCCCAAAAACTTCCACACCTGCGACTTCAATGAAAGAGGAGGGGGTTCAAGTTCTGAACACTGCATAAAAGTCACGTGCGAACTGCTCGGCTCAGCACTGACCCTATTCACCTGGGCTGTCTTATCGTAATTGCGTCCACTCACAGAATGAATTAATCATGGCTGACAAAAAATTGTGCTTTCTACAATGGCATCAGTAACTTTTGCTCTTGGATGATTCTTAATCTACACTCATAGGTTTCATCATAACAAACAAAATATTATTAAGTTTACTTTAACTCTGTTACTGTTTCATTGTTCGATCACTGTTTTCAGGTTAGAATTGGCCCCAACACATCCATCGGTGCCGAACAGTTTGGCCACATGAAATGGACAGATGCAAAAAAAGCAACAAAAGACCTCCTGGTGGCTGTCTTTGGAAGAGCAACACTGGCAACACACTGCTACACAGGAAAAAGTTCCAATGCCTTCAAAGACAAAGAAGCAAAGCCACAACTGGAGGCTCAAAAAGTGTCTGACATAATTGGTGAGTTTATTTTCCTGAAAATCAAGTTTTGGCAGGTTTTTATTATTATATACTGTATATAAAACAACAGGATATAATTATACTCAGGAATTTGGAAAAGTATCTACTTTTTTAGAGCAATATACTTTAGAGCAGCCTTTCTCAAAGTGGGTGCCGCGGCACAGTGGGGTGCCCCCTGACTTTGTCAGGGGTGCCGCCAAAAAATTATGTAGGCTAAAAAAAAATATATATATATTTGAATTTACATAGCTAAATACATTCTTCTTCTTTTTAAACATATGAACGTATTAATAAAATTGTAAATTCATTTTAGATAAATATATATATATAAAATTAACCATAAAAATCCGTCTCACAAGACCGAAGCAAGACACACACACAACTTGACGCAACCCATAGCAACGCGTTATAGCAAAAACACCTCAGACTGACAGAAACGTAAAAAATAAACGTGAATTTAGGCCACTTTAGTTTTGTACACAGTCATGTTAATTATAAGCAAATAATTTTTTTTTACCACAATATTATCATTGATAGGCTATATGTTTGAGCCCTTACGGTTGTATGGCATTTGTGTCTCTGATTAATTATTTTGTGAATTACTTTGCAAAAGGGCTGTCACTTTACGTTCGAAAATCGATTGCACAATCGATCGGACCAACCAACACAAGTATCGAAACCGAAAATAGGGAATCGATTTTAACGGCCTTCTCTCGGAGCGCGTCCAGCTCGTCACGACACGCGCGTCACACAGCAACTGCAGGCTCTGACACACACACATACAAACTATACTATACTTCTGCATAATGTGTCTCTTTTTACAACAAAAATGTGAATTCTGCCGGTATTCAGACAGTCCCATGCATACAGATACAGATCCGGCCTACAATCGCCCACATAGGCGAAATTTGTTTGACATTTCTAATGGTAAACACAGCCATGTTGAAGCCTGCAGTAATGTTTTTCATTGATGTTATGGCAGTCCACTCTCCTTATTGTTTTTCGAGAATCTTGCACTCCTGTTTGTCATAGCGCACGAAACTTCATGCCAATAAATCATCAGAAATATTGCTGACTTGTGCGCGTCTCAAGCGCACTCTTTACGCTCGTGCTAATGCCAGTTAGGTGTCCGTGGATTTGCCTATATTTGGCGCTGAAAATGGAAACGTCTTTAGACATGGAAAATCGATTTTACAATCGATTCAATGAACATTTATGTCTCAAAAATCGATCATGATTTTTTCACAAAAGTGATAGCCCTGTAAAATTTTTATTAGGGGCCAAGCACCGAAGGTGCAGAGGCACCTATTGTATCTGTTGGTTTTCTTATTATTATTATTCCGTGAATGGGAGTCTATGGCAGCCCTATGAACCGTAAGTAGGAAAATGATGAAATTTGGCACACTTGTAGTGATGCTAATGAATAGTAATTGGACCAATTTTTGACCCTCTAGGACCAACTCTATAGCGCCACCACCAGTTCAAAAATTCAACATTGAAATGGTTATAACTTTTGAACCCTTTGATCTAGAGACATGAAACTTAGTACACCTGATTCCACTCATCATGCTGATCACAACCAATACCTTACATTAAGACCCCGCCCATTACAGTAGTGGCCATTTTGAAATGTACAGTATTCAGTTATTTCGCTACTCCTCCTTCAAATTTTGTCCAATTTTCTCCAACCATGTGCTCAAATGATCTTCGGACTGAGCAGCATAAAAGTACTGTTCCCGATTTTTTTGTTATACTGGAAAAAAAAAGTTGTACTGTCGCAAACTTAACGAGGTCCACCCAAAATTGGCTAAGAGGCTGTATCTCGGCCAAAGTTTGATCAATCGATACGAAAATTGGTACGCTTAATCGGAAGCATGATCTGAGGGACCCTGCCAAAGTCAGGAACAGCGCCACCTACGGGTCATGAGATATGGAAAAATGCTATTTTGGCCAATAACTTTTGAACACTTTGTCAGAAAATCATAATTGTGGTATCTATGGATTCCTTGCGTCATGCCGAATCCATGGATATCGATTTTGCCATGATGGGATGTACCCCGTGTCCGCCATTTTGAATTTTGTCATAATTTGCAATATCTTTTAAACTATTTGAAATTTCTTCACCAAATTTGGTAGGGATCACCATTAGCATGGCCCGGAGGTACCTGAGAAGTTTGATCACAGCGCCACCTAGTGTTCCAGAGATATCATTGTTTTTTGAAAAAACGCTTATAACTTTTGCTATCATTGCTTGAAATTTGATTTCTTTATGTCAATATATTCCTTGGCTTATGCCGATTTCAACGATATCTCATATGCTATTTTCCAACAATGTGACTGGCCGCCATATTGGAGCAAATGTAAAACAGTTTTTTCGCTACTTCTCCTTCAAAATTTGTCCAAAATTGTCCAAAATTTGCTCAAATGATCTTCGGACCGAGCCGCACAGAAGTACTGTTCCCGATTTTTTTGCTATACTGGAAAAAAAAAAGTTATGATGTCGCAAATTTAACAAGGTCGACCCAACATTGGTTCAGAGGCTGTAACTTGTGAACAGTTTGTCACAAAATCATAAAATTGGTGTCTATCGATTCCTTGCATCATGTCGAATCCGATGATATCTATTTTGCCAGGATTGGATGTACCACGTCATAAGCTAAATTAGCATTAAGCTAGCTTAGCATGCTAATCTGGTTAACATGTCATGGAACTTTTTTGTGAACTCATTCTCACACTGAACCCTCTCCTCTGCTGTTTTGAAATTCACGTCCTCTGAGTGGCGCAATCAGCTAAACCATGCATCTCGAATCCCGAACCATTCTGGTCGTGGGTTCGAGTCCCATGTGGGACGACTTTAAAATTGTGTATAAAGTTGTCATTTCAATTCCTTCCGGCTCTGCTCTGCTGTTGGTGCTTAAATGCTAGCTGTGCTTCATTTACATGTATATTCAATTTGTGCTGTTTTTGTTCTTGCGGCTCTGCACTGCTATTGGTGCTTAAATGCTTGATGCGCTGCTGTACTTGCAGTACTTGCTGTACTTGCTGTGCTTGCTGTACTTGCTGTACTTGTTGTACTTGCTGTACTTGCTGTACTTGCTGTGTTTGCTGTGCTTGCTGTACTTGCTGTGCTTGCTGTACTTGCAGCTTGCTGTACTTGCAGTTTGCAGTACTTGTTCTGCTTGCGGTGCCAAGCCTTTGAACTTTGCTGTACTTGTTCTAATTGCGGAGCCAAGCCTTTGAACTTTGCTGTAATTGTTCTAATTGCGGTGCCTTGCAGGGCTTGGCCCCGTGTTGCTGCTTGCAGCTATATTTATTATTATTATTCTTCTTCCGCAAATGGAAGTCTATGGCAGCCCTATGAACCGTACATAGGAAAATGATGAAATTTGGCAGACTTGTAGTGATGCTAATGAATAGTAATTGGACCAATTTTTGACCCTCTAGGACCAACTCTATAGCGCCACCACCAGTTCAAAAATTCAACATTGAAATGGTTATAACTTTTGAACCCTTTGATCTAGAGACATGAAACTTAGTACACCTGATTCCACTCATCATGCTGATCACAACCAATACCTTACATTAAGACCCCGCCCATTACAGTAGTGGCCATTTTGAAATGTACAGTATTCAGTTATTTCGCTACTCCTCCTTCAAATTTTGTCCAATTTTCTCCAAACATGCACTCAAATGATCTTCAGACTGAGCCGCATAAAAGTACTGTTCCCGATTTTTTTGTTATACTGGAAAAAAAAAAGTTATAATGTCGCAAACTTAACGAGGTCCACCCAAAATTGGCTAAGAGGCTGTATCTCGGCCAAAGTTTGATCAATCGAAACGAAAATTGGTACACTTCATCGGAAGCATGTTCTGAGGTCCCATGCCAAAGTTGGGAATAGCGCCACCTACGGGTCATGAGATATGACAAATTGCTATTTTGGCCAATAACTTTTGAACAGTTTGTCAGAAATTCATAATTGTGGTATCTATGGATTCCTTGCGTCATGCCGAATCCGTGGATATCGATTTTGCCATGATGGGATGTACCACGTGTCCGCCATTTTGAATTTTGTCATAAATTGCAATATCTTTTAAACTATTTGACATATCAGCACACAATTTGGTAGGGATGACCGACACCATGTCCTAAAGCGACATGAGAAGTTTGATCACAGCGCCACCTAGTGTTCCAGATATATCATTGTTTTTTGAAAAAACGCTTATAACATTTGAAAATATTGTTCAAATTTTGAGTTCTTTATGACATTATGTTCCTTGGTTTATGCCGATTTAGACGATATCTCATTTGTCATTTTCCAACAATGTGACTGGCCGCCATATTGGAGCGAATGTAAAACAGTTTTTTCGCTACTCCTCCTTCAAAATTTGTCCAAAATTGTCCAAAATTTGCTCAAATGATCTTCGGACCGAGCCGCATAAAAGTACTGTTCCCGATTTTTTTGCTATACTGTAATAAAAAAGTTATGATGTCACAAATTTAACAAGGTCAACCCAAAATTGGCTAAGAGGCTGTAACTTGTGAACAGTTTGTCACAAAATCATAAAATTGGTGTCTATCGATTCCTTGCATCATGTCGAATCCGACGATATCTATTTTGCCAGGATTGGATGTACCACGTTATAAGCTAAATTAGCATTAAGCTAGCTTAGCATGCTTATCTGGTTAACATGTCATGGAACTTTTTGTGAACTCATTCTCACACTGAAACCTCTACTCAGCAGGCTGGTGAACATGCATGAGTGATTAGCTCAACGTGTTACACCACGAATCCCGATGTTCAGCGTCGTGGGTTCGCCACTCAGTGTGACATGTGCCCAGACCGCATGAGGTACTGTGGCAGGAAAAGATGCAGAAGTTGCATCTGTTCCAGGCATTGTGCATAAGAATGATCTCATCTGAAGCTGCCACACACAACATGCAGTGCTTTTACGTCCAATTCATTGTTGTTCTTCTTCCAGAAGGGTAGTCAATGGCAGCC